GAATCGGCTATTACAAATGAAGCGGTGACGCCGCTGCCCCGCTCAGCCGGCGCTGTCCCGGGATCCGACACTGGCACCCCCTCCCCACGAGTGCATTTACAGGGAAAAACCACCCGTATTGGTTGCAGCGGGCGCCAGCCCTGGCGCTGGCCCAGCTGACGGACAGACAGACGGTGGACAAAGCTGGTTTAACCCGAGTCTTTTCTCCCTGTCTTTGGAACAGGTAAAACCGAGCTGGCCAAGCAGACAGCCAAGTACATCCATAAGGACGTGAAAAAGGTGAGGCCTCTTCCCTTCGCTGTTTGCCCTCCGGGTGCTTGCGGCAACGGGGCAGGTTTGGTTTGGTGGCGGCAGGGCCGGGGGCTCGCAGTCCTGCTCGCCCGGTGGCCCGGCTGCACAGCAGCAGCCTGGATGCATCCCCGACGGGGAAATTTCCCTGGCCGTGCGCGCCGGGAAAGGGTTAAAACGAACCCGTGAAGGTCCCTGTCTGTGTTACCCCTATATTTGAATTGTAGACCTCTAAATGGCTGTAACAGTATCTTGCGTTCCCCGCTGGACGTTGCTGTCGTTTTGCCGTCCTGTGCTGTGAGCGCATTTTTTTGCCTCGATTCCTAATAACGCTGTAACTTGTTAGGAGGATAAAATGCTGGAAATCCATTTGACGCGCCCCTGGCCGCGCCGCTCGCCGCGTTGGACCGGTGCGGCCGGCGGAGGTGGCGGCGCTGATTTCATCCGGGGGTTCTGAGCGCTGACGTGTTTGGGATCCGAGGAGCAGAAGCTGTCGGCGTGGTTCGGTTTGTTATCCGCCCGGCGGCTTTTAGCCAAGACGGGTTAGAGTTATTTCGAGGTTTCGGTGGCTTAGTAAGGGCATAGTTCAGGGATGTCGAAGATTTTAAAGCACCAAGCCGGGCTCCCCGGTCCCCGTTTTGGGAGGGGCCCAGCTCTCTGCCGCGGACGCTGGGGAGGGCGCGGAGCCGGGAAAAGGGGGAGGCACGAGCGGAGCTGCCCCGGCGCCGGCGCTCGCTTCATCCCTCTCCCCCATATCCTCCGGCCGAGGACGGCCACAAGATAACATCCACGTGTAGAAGGAAGATCAAAAGTAAACCGACGCTATGAAAAATAGCTGTTCTGGTTTCTTTTCCTCATCCTTCTCTAATTGCCTTCCAGAAGCAATAAATCCCGGCTCCTAGGTCGTCATCCCCGACTCCCACACCTGGCACTGGTCAATGCCCGGCCAAACATCAAATGGAGAAATCGGCTAAACGCGGAATGCTGCGTTAACTCAATAGCATGCGCAAATCCGAGTTTTATTGGCAATGAATCAGCCTGGCCGTCAGGGCTGCGAGCAGCGGTGCGAGGGGGGCTGCGGGCGTGCGGCCGTTCCCAGGAACAGACGGGTTAAGGACGGAAAACCCCGTACCCGGCCCATTTTCATACCGCTGGAGAGGCTGCAAGGTCATGGCAAGCGCTGACCTCCGTCTCCGGCCTGCGCGGTACGGGCGCGGGAGGGCCGGGAGCGGGATCAGACCGAAGCAAAGCGGGTCCTGCGCAGCCCGGCTCCGCGTTGTTGGTAGTTTAATATTTTGCAGGGAAATGTGGCTGTTTTGAATTGAAATCCGTCCTAAACTGGCCTGAACTCTTAACCACCTTCCCAAATACCGGCATTTCACGGGAGAGTGGCAAACCCGGCAGATCCTCCGTCCCGTGGGAGTTCCCGGCAGCACCGTCGTGGCTCGGTGCCCCTCGGCGTCGTGGCTCGGTGCCCCTCGGCGTCACCGGGGACCAGGAAAGCTCCGGGCTCCCAAACATCCCACCCGTTCCCTCTGAAGCTGAGTATGCCAGGCCAGGCTGGACGGGGCTCCGAGCACCCTGCTCGGGCAGTAGCTATTTCGCGTGGCTCTCCGCCTGTCCTGGGCGTGATGCCTGTCGCGGCCCATCTGCCGCCAGCCTCTAAGGGTCTTCAGCAGCGGGGCCGGGCACGGCGGGGCCGGGAGGCGCAGGCTCCGAGGGTGGGTGCCGACGGAGAGCTGTCGTGGCCGCCGCCTGCACCTGCGCCGGTGCTCATTTTCCTTTTCCTCTTCCTCTTCCTTTTCCTTTTTCCCTTCCCTTCCCTTCCCTTCCCTTCCCTTCCCTTCCCTTCTTTTTCCTTTCCTTTCCTTTCCTTTCCTTTCCTTTCCTTTCCTTTCCTTTCCTTTCCTTTCCTTTCCTTTCCTTTCCCCTTCCTTCTCTCTCCCTTCCCTCTTCCTTCCCTCTCCCTCCTCTTCCCCTTCCTTCTCCTTTCTCCCTCCTCTTCCCCTTCCTTCTCCTTTCTCCCTCCTCTTCCCCTTCCTTCTCCCTCCCCTTTCCTTTCCTTTCCTTTCCTTTCCTTTCCTTTCCTTTCCTTTCCTTTCCTTTCCTTTCCTTTCCTTTCCCTT